TTTGTTACAATATAAGTAGACGCAGAGCTGCTCGTAAACAGCGCGTTCCAATACTTTAGAAAAAATTGGCAGTAGACTGATCGGTCTCAGTTGACCATAGTTAGTAGGGTCAGAACACTTAGGTAGCGGAATAACTATAGCGCGTTTCCACTGATTGGGGAAATATCCCCTCTCTAAACAGCAGTTTATAATATGCGTTAAGTACACATCAATTTCAGGTATACATAGTAGTATCATATGCAAAGTTATTTCATCTGTACCACTAGAATTTGATTTTATTTTATGTATAATTTTAACAACGGTGTCAATAGTCACTTTATTAAATTGAAATTTGAATTTTGGGTTATTTTTATTAGCTGGGTAATATGCAATTTTATCAGCACAAGCCAAATCACTATTCTCGAAAATTGAAATGAATGCCTCATTTATTTTATACGGATCTGACAAGCTCACGGGAATTGTAAAATCTTTCTGAGATTGTACTTTGAAAGTCTTTAGGGTCTTATAAAACTTTTTTATATCCTGATTTTGAACAGCTTGTAAATAATCTCTTTTTCCTCTTCGCACGAGCGTTAATGCACGATTTCTGAAATATGTATACTGTTGCCAAGAGGCGGCTGTACGATCACGTTTGAACTTTGACAAAGCTTCAGCCCTCTGCTTGAATACAAGTTTAATATTATCATCCAACCAAGGAGCTGGAGGTTTGTTTACACGCACTACCTTTTTTGGACAGTGAACATTAAATAAACATAAAATACTATCTGTTAAAAAGTTAATTTTATCTTCGATGTCATCTGTTGATATAATATGCCACCATGGAAAACTCTTGAGATCTTGTTCAAACGCTATTTCATTTAAACTATGGAAATCCCTGAATGTCACAAATTTCTGTTGATTTTTAGGAAGTGCAATACGTATATCACAGAAGGTTAAATAGTGATCAGTAATCATATCAGCATTAATAGTGCCACTCCTAAGACAACTTTCAGGCTTGCTCAAATAAATAGGATCTAAGAGAGTGAGTGTCGATTCAGTTATCCTAGTCGGTTCAGATATCACCTGTTTCAGATTATAAGAATCAAGGCATTTAGTCAAGTTGTTACAAACTGAAAGCAAATTAACATTGATATCCCCGGCAAGGATGATATCATCATATTCAGCTAATATGGCAGGCAACATGTTATCAAAGGTATTACCGGCTTCTGTAACAGAGCTATGTGGGGGCCGATAGAATATACCAATAGCAATTTTTTGTTTTGGAAGCTGCACCTTCAACCATATATATTCAAGACTTGGGTCTTGCCCAAATGAAATTATGGAAGAGTTGTAGTGGTTGTTTACAAAGACTGCAACCCCACCACCTCGCCCATTCATCGCAGTTGTATCCATTCATTCTTATATGGTCATTAGATATACTATCTTTTGATAGCCACGTTTCCGATATTCCAACAATATCAAGGTTGTTGTTTTGAACCAGTGTACTAAATTCATGAAATCCTGATAAAACTGATCTGCAGTTTATATGACCAAATTTTAAAACCTTGAATTTATCACTATTCATATTCAATTCTAGATTTCAAGTATGTAACATGTTTTTTATAAGTTGGACAATCTAAGTCTTTAGAAGAATGACTAGTATCAAATTGAGTGTTGAATTTAGAATTGTGATTCATACAGTTTGAACAATTCTTAAAAGCAGATTTACAATTTTTTTCCAAATGATCTCCAGCACATAAAGGACATGATACTTTAGAATGTATGCAATTTTTTTCCATGTGGCCAAAACCTGAACATTTATAGCAGCGTATAATTCGTACATAATCCCGCACAGGACATCTTTGCCAACCCATGTATATATGACCTCTATCTAGCAACGTTTTTCTAAATTTTGGGCTAACCTCAATGACAACATTTAAAGTAGATTCGGAACATCTGAAAGTGGTTACAGTTTTTATATCATCACTACTGAAAATACCAAATTCATTCTGAGACAAGATCTTCTCAATTAATCCCTCAGATTTTGTGTAGGCGCATTCTACATTATTTATCACCATGCGTGGGCGATATTTCTTGATCTCATTGACAGTGAAGTTCGCACCGAGTTCTCCCTGTATACTCGCCATCAGCTTGGACAATGATGCTTCATTTTCGCAGCTAAGAATGATGCCATTATTCACCCTCCTCACAGAGTTCACACAGATATTTGACTTAGCTGGATCAATGTTCTTCTTCAAATCTTCCAACACATTAGAGTTTGATTTGTCCGTACTTTTTATCATCAACTTTTGTGTATTATTAATTTTATCTACAATCTTCTCATCTCTGCTTTTTTTTGACTCTTTTACAGCTCCACTATATGATATAATATACTTACATCATTACAACGTGTGTATGAGGTAGTAGCTTCTATTTTTTCAACTCTTTCATTTATTTTCCCCAAAGAAGTGATTATGGTTTCTTTATCCACTATACTGCTAATGATCAATTCATAATGCTCCTGTAAACGTCTGTTCTCATTAACTAATTGATTGATATACCTCTCTTTATCTAAAATTATTTCATTCTTTGTTTCTAATAGCTTTTTCAAGTACTGTACTTCTTGCTCTATAGTAGTATTTGCATTATTCTTGGATAAATAACTTTCATCTTTATCTTCTTGTTGCTCTTCTTCATCCTTCTTTTTTCGTCTAGTCATATCGGATAAATACCCTATGTATAGGCCAGGTTGAAAGTTGATATATCTTGACAAAAATGTGACTTTTGTGACACAATTTCGGGAGAGGTTAAAGAAAAATGACCGAAAATGCTTGGTTCGTCCTCGGAAGAGCTGCTAACGTTTCTGTAAGTACTTACTGGTGTTATCTCTTGTATGGTTACTTCTCCAGAAGATTGGGTACGATGTATCTCACACTTTGCGTATATATCAGGAGCAGGTATTTTTTTGATAGATAAGTTGACGACGATATGAATATGAATATGTAGTAGTTTCTCATTAATTTGTTTCCATAATCGCAAATAAATATCAATGCCAATTTTATAAACGTTTTGTATTTTTATCTACTGGAACCAGGTTTCAACAGAATATTACTCGTATCTCCTAACAATATTTCGAATATGTTAACATTTCTTGCAACCAATGCTGTAACTATACAGCCGCGTACAGACCGCGATTCCAACGCAAGCCAGGGCACATGTGGTTACAGATTTGGAGGTGTTCGAATCGATGTGTACAGCGCGAGCCAACATAAGCCAATGACTTCCAAGCTTGGTGTTGGCGTTCGATTGCGTTCGCTCATTGATCGGTCAGTCGTTTGACATTAGCACCGAACTTAATCCGAGGCGGTTCAACTCGAAACTAAATTTAGGTGTAGACGACGTGTAGACGGGCGCATTCCAATAACTTCCAACCACAAACGCCAACGTCACATGTCCGTTTGCTCGGCGTGGATTTTCGGTCTGTACGCGGCTTTAGGCGAATGGCACAAAGCACACACATGCATCACTAAGCTTTTTCTCAACACATAAGCAACGAAAATCTTAATTTTTATCGCAAACATCTAGATTTGCGTAAGTTTATATTTTACATCACAAAATATGAAGACAACTGCTTGTGTTGTTCTTTTTACTGCCCACACAATAGCAGAGAATAACACCGTGATGGTACACTGAGATAACGTGGTCAAATAAACAGTTTTCCTAGAAAATTTTCATTGCCCGTAATGAATTTTTAAATTGTTCTAAGTTGCTGAATCGTTTGGCTTAATTAAAAAGATTTTTCTGGGTCCAGTTTAACTAAAAGTAATATACTATTAAGCTAATTTGCTTGAAAATAGCAAACCATGTACCTGTCTTACTAAACTGTTTTATTAGTTTAGGAACCACTTATAGAAATACATATTAGCTATTGTAATAAATGCGTTGTATGACTTCTTGAAAAATACGGAAAATTATATTGTATAGAAATGAACCGCACCATGCTCAATCTCAAACTTGCCCTATAAAAATATGTAATACTGAAAACCTCAATGGAAATGTTTGTATTCATATAGAATATTAAAATAGAATTACCTGATATACATAAAGTATATTTTGCATTTTGCTGAGTTATCCCATTATAATAAAACTGTATTGGCCTCCTATTGTTTTTTCGTTAGTGCAGTAGTTAGTCTCCAAGAATCAGTTCGAACGCAGTCATAAAGTTCTAAATAGTAATTACATTTTTTGAAAAAAAACCTTTAAGTATATACGCGACCATTACACAGCAAGAACGTCATAGGGAGAGGAAACTGCACAACGTGTCGCAACGTGTAGCAAAATATGGTCCCGACCAAAAATCGATCTTAAATGATTATTACCATTTTTTAGATCGATATAAACGAGTACGTAGAACGTTTTTCCTTGTACTCAGTAATAAGCGAAATTGCTAACCACTTGAAAAAAATTTTCACATTTGTGTAGACACTATCTGCACGGGGACATACTTTTAAGATATAAATACGTGGTAATGTGATCTAGTACAAAACGCTTGTCTCAATAGAATCCGTCACAAAAAACTGCAATTATTACGTCTGGACAGTTTTTAAACACGGCACTATTCCTCAAAAGCTCATATAAAGTTGGCAGCTTATGTAAAGCCTACATTGTCAATACTTTTCATTATGCTACTGCATATGTATGTTCTTTTTACAAATAGAAAATTTGCGCTAGTATTTTTGTTGGCCTGTTCACCGTAATTCGCACTTTTCGATGATTTTCGAAAAAACACTCTATACAATCATAGCAGGACCCGCACCTAGTTTTTTTAAATCGATGCATTGCCATCGTAGCTTTACAAAAAAGCATATACATAAAAATAACAAAGTCAGCAACCAAGGTAATACCAAATACCTTTGTTACAAGCAACTTGACTTGCTTTTATAAACAAAATTGAAACACTACAAAAATCAAAAAAAGAATCGATCTGAAGGATTTTCAACAATGCCAAGTCGACTGACCTATATTCTTTGGATCCGTGCATGCTGTTGCTCGTATCGACCAAACAACTAACCTACATATGACTGGTCTTCTGATTATTGAAATCAGAAGGGAACTGTCATCAATTCAAAGGAGTAATGAACGATGTCAGACACAGATGAAAACTTGGAGGATATACCCACAGACGTAACTACCGAAGATGATGGAGAGACATCAGAAGGTGATGACATAGAGGAAGAAGAAGAAGCGAAACAGGAGAATAAGGAAGAGTATGTAGAGGAGGAAGAAGAGAAATATGCTGAGGAAGAGGCCGTTGAAGAAGAAGAGGAACCAGAGTTTTACGATTCTAATCTGTATTTGTCGAAGGCGAGAGTTAGCCAGGATGGAACGTTGCCTATTAACATTTTGGAGTTTCAGTATCCTTTAGAAACTCTAGCTTAAAATCCTCTAGAAATAGTGTCTGAACCAGGTATCTCACTTGAATTACGCGTAAACAAAATTTGTGATGCATGCACCTAAGCTCTTTTGAAAAAATGCACGTTTAGCTAACACAGCACGTTATCCTAATTCAACTGCTCCGATCAAAAACCAAAATGTCATTCGTTGAGTGTTGTGGGGTTTAAAATTACGGAGAGCTATCAACTGGGGAAAAGATGTACTATGTAAATATTCAAATATAGGTCAAATTTCATTATCCAAGCTTCTTAGTGTGTACAAAGCACAAAAGAGGCCTGGTTTAGAATTCATTAACAGATAATCACAAGACGATTTCTCATTGATCAGCAGTTTGTGATATTGAGCATTCCTACCGATATACTGACGAAATTCACTTATGTAGCTATCCACTCTCATGCTTTAACGCTTTTTGTGTCCGTTAAGCTAGTGCTGTCATCTCGGGATTGTAAGTTCGGTGCTTGGCATTTGGTCTCCATACATCTAGAACTGACCAGCAGAGTGTTGTAGTGTCGAAGTTGTAGATTAATCTACCAAATTCATCAGCCAGTACAATTTTGATAACGAGCTGCCCTCAAAAAGAAAAAAGTTTGATATTTGGAAAACTACCAGAGATTATGTTGACAATTCACAATTAGGATTTTAGGAGGTTTGTCGAAAAAGCTTTGTACGATAAGTAAAGTCGTGGAGAATACCATTTTTTCCTTATCATAATCAAATAACAGCTTTTCCTATGGCTATGATTGCAGAAAACACTTTAATCTGGTAGTTCTTGACGGGGAAACTCTCTGTTTCGCATCAGGGAATTTTATAAACTTCTTTTCGGTCCCAACTAAAAAGATTTGGTTTAGAAGGAGCGCTTTAGGTGGAGGCATCGGACATATCAGGGTGAGTATTTACTGTTGGAGATATGAAAAAAAGATGCAATAGTCCTAAAGGAAAATACGTTTGGTTTCAGCATACCATTTTTTTTGTTGAAAATATTATTTTATATGGTAGCCAAGGGAACTGCCCTTTGAAAATCAATAAATCTGGGTTCTAACCTCGGTCGCTGCCATAGAATGATTCAGTATTGTATGTAAGCTTACAAGGAATTCAGATTTCACAATCAGCTTGCCCAGGTATGCTGATGAGGCTATAATCTAAACATAACTGTCCATACAAAGCCATACGTATAGTAGAGAGTATATACTAGAGACCAGCCGATATAGGATGTACGTCGATAACGATAGAACAAGCCGTCTATAGTTTTACCCAGAAACCAGAATATAAAAAAATATTATACATTATGATGAGGAAGAGAGATGGAAATATACAAAAGTATGTAGGTGCGTGAAAGACACTCGATTGTAGGATCCTATCTGGCAGCGTCGGAGTGTGATGGACAACGGGGTAAAGTAGAAGAGTGATAAAAGAGAGATGGCAGAACGGGCGCTGGCGACTGCCGCTTAGACGGATGCGCTCAACAAATGCGATTTGTTTCTCCCATTCGCAGAGTTGCCGATACCAATATGTCATATTTCTAAGAAATCTAAGTCTACCCAAATTTCGGGAAAAATAGCTGCGGATTCCACATAAGAGTATCCCAAAAATGAAAAAAGTTTAAACTATTAAAATTGTATTAATGTTTCATGGTTCAAATCATATTTTTCATGTTTGTATATTGTTGTATAAATGATTTTGTAATCCCTATTCTTGTTGCCAGTAGAGATACAACAGTATTGAGAGAAATCATGAACCGCTAGATAGGGCTACAACTACCATATGACTATCAAATAGTAGTGATAAACAGGGTTTGTTTATAGCACAGTTGCCTGGTGTGGCGAATTTGCGCCATAGGGGCGATTTGACAACTTTGAAGGACAACTATAACGGGTACTATGGTGCCCGGTATTCGGGAATCTGGCAATACCTGATGATTCCTAACGTTTATTACGCCAGATTGTTTGCTGACTTGCGCAGTACAACATGACAATCAACGTGACTGAGCACCTGGTAACCCTGGTTTAAGGTATTATATTTAAAGAGCTTGGGGCAGTTAGGTATCTAGGTCACATTTTTTAATGTATTTCGAGAAATCCGTAATGTTGAGTAAATACTAGATCACGTTTCTTGCTTAGTTTGCTGAAAATTCTACAATAGACGTACATTTTGAGAAACAGAGATTTGGTGACGACAAAATCGTAAAAATATAAAGCATTTTCGTAAAATAATTTCTTTGTTGAAAAGACTGTGGCTTGATGACCCATTGAACGAGTATAGTGTCCCGCTCCGCTTTGAATATTCGAAACACTATACTCCAGCAGCATTCAGCTTCAATGTTATCTTTATGAAGTTCTAACGTCTAGGCCATGCTGATTAAAAGCTTGAATGAATCAACACTTAACTCTAAATTCCCCACAATTCGGGAAGCTCTACTCAAATTGGCAACACAGCGTATCTGCCTATTATTCTCATTCGTGATACAGGTCTGCGGTCTGCTGCAAATTTCAGTATGCGTTGAGTCGACAGAAGAAGTACAGTAGATGCGCGCATTACGCACCAGTTCGATTGGACGTCCTGAGAACCGATTTCGGTGATTTCGAGATTTCACGAAATCACCTAAATCACTCTACTTATTTTTATGAATGGATAATTGGTTTTGTAGCAATAAAGGTTGCGTCTCATAACAAAAATAAGAAGATACCCACTCTAACAAAAAATAGTACACTCTTAAAAATGTGTAACGAAAATAAAAAGATATTCTAACAAAAAAATAAGTTCTCAAAAATAAAACGCAATAATGAACACAAATGCTTCAAATGGTCCTTCACAGCTGGGGCTCAAAAACGTCTCCTTCATTCAATTAACAGTATGTCAGGCGGTTATAAAACTCCTGACGAACTCTCAAGAGGGTAGAAGGCTGTATTTGCCCGAGCGCTTCAACGATTTTCACCTGTAGGTTATGCAAATTGTCTGCTCTCTCATTGAAAGTGTAAACAGTACTTTTCACATAACCCCACAAGAAAAAATCATTGGGCGCTAGATCGGGTGATCTAGGAGGCCATTTTATTGTTCCGTTACCGCCAATAATCCGGTGGCCGATCACACTTTCAAGGTAAGTGTGTACGATCGCCGCATTATGCGCCGGGCATCCATTTTGTTGGAACCAAATATTAGCGAGATCAATGCCAAGCTGCCTAATTGCAGGAACAATCTGCGTCTGTAGTAACGCCAAATATTTTGCAGCCGTAAGAGTTCCATCAATAAAGAACGGTCCGATAATGTTATTACCTAGAATTCCTGCCCACACATTCAGTTTCGGTGGATACTGCGTGCGGACGGGAATATTGAGGTGTTTATTTTCCCCAGACCAATACCGAACGACTGAAGGATTGTGAGAGGGAATGTGGATTCTTCAGTAAACAAAATGTTACCAATAAAACTTCCATCCCTGTTCGCGTTCTCCATGACCGTTTCACAAAACTCCATTCGACGGTATTTGTCTAAAGGAAATATTTCTTGAACCGTTCCAACCTTGAAGCTATGATAGCCGTTGCGATGCAAAATATTTCTTGTTGTTCTGGGTGTGAGATCGGCTATTGGTACCATTTCAGCAATTTTTCTGCTTGAGCATGGCTCAGATACTTCTGCAGCGGCACAAACAGCAGTTTCGATCTCCTCCCTTTTCTCGCTAATTTTTGGTTTCCAACCTTCAGGGTGCATGCAGCTATGGCACTTATGTAAGCAGCCCACCCTCTTGAATTTTTCGTAGGTATTTATAACCGTTTCGTGAGACGGAATTGGCCGATCTGGGAAGCGTACCGCAAATAATTCAACAACCGCGCGTGCTGAATTATTCTGGATGTACCATTCTATCATTTGAAACTTTTCTTCTTGCGAGTACATTTTTAAGATATTTTGGATTAAATAACGACGCACCTTTCCTACACAAAACCCAACCGCAGAGTGAGTCATGAATCCCTTATCGCACTTGACGACGGCACGCGCGTTAACGGTAGGAAATATGTACGAATAGCGATGAAAGTAGACGAGCCGATGCGCTGTTGCCAAGAAATGATTTCCCATGTATAATAATGGTTTTTCCTAAGATGTATATATATATATATATATACTTTCCCAAAGGTTTTCGATGCGCTGAATCCGAATCCGTAGTACAAATCTCTTAATTGTCTCTAGTTTCCGTGATATCCTAACCTAAAAGTCCAAAAATCTTCAACATTAAATCCAAATCCAAGTTTCTCAAACTTACTCAAGTCACAAGCCAAGAACCCATCCTATTACATCAAAGCCGAATTTAACATTCTTACTTTCGATTGAACACCTTCAAAGATAAATTACAATTTCAAAATGGCATATCTACGCGAAAGAAAAATACATTTAAGCAAACTCGATGGCATTTGGAGGGGCAAGCCTTGTACTTTGAGATGGTACCTATGGTTTTTAGAAAAAAAATCTTCGTGCTGATTATCCCAAATATAGGCACAAATTGCAATTTTCACTTTTAGGTTAGGATACTTTGGAAACTAGAGCCAACTGAGAGATTTGGACTATGGAATCTCACTCAACGCCCAAAAGACTGCGGGAAAATATACTCTGGTTTCGGGGTAAGAGGGTCGGATCAGTTTTGTCTCACGGTACTAATATATCAAAAACTGATATATCTGCATTATCGACCTGAGAAATAAGACAGTGCAAAGTGCCATCTATCACCAAAATCGACAACTACAGAGCGTGCATAGCAGCTGTTTGTTGGAACTGTAAAGATCTCAGTTCGCGTTTAATATCCCAGTTACCATGTGACCGCTAGATAGCTGTCGATTCTGGATGTTTAGTAGATGTTGGTCTACTTGCTATTGAATATGCTTTTGTCCGTTCGACCAAAAGACAGCTATTCATGGCCAGCTGTTTCGTGCTTTTTGGATACTAATCAGCATTGTCTAGGCTTGACACTCACTTGAGACCAATACCGAACGACTGAAGGATTGTGAGAGGGAATGCGGATTCATCAGTAAACAAAATGTTACCAATAAAACTTCCATCCCTGTTCGCGTTCTCCATGACCGTTTCACAAAACTCCATTCGACGGTATTTGTCTAAAGGAAATATTTCTTGAACCGTTCCAACCTTGAAGCTATGATAGCCGTTGGGATGCAAAATATTTCTTGTTGTTCTGGGTGTGAGATCGGCTATTGGTACCATTTCAGCAATTTTTCTGCTTGAGCATGGCTCAGATACTTCTGCAGCGGCACAAACAGCAGTTTCGATCTCCTCCCTTTTCTCGCTAATTTTTGGTTTCCAACCTTCAGGGTGCATGCAGCTATGGCACTTATGTAAGCAGCCCACCCTCTTGAATTTTTCGTAGGTATTTATAACCGTTGCGTGAGACGGAATTGGCCGATCTGGGAAGCGTACCGCAAATAATTCAACAACCGCGCGTGCTGAATTATTCTGGATGTACCATTCTATCATTTGAAACTTTTCTTCTTGCGAGTACATTTTTAAGATATTTTGGATTAAATAACGACGCACCTTTCCTACACAAAACCCAACCGCAGAGTGAGTCATGAATCCCTTATCGCACTTGACGACGGCACGCGCGTTAACGGTAGGAAATATGTACGAATAGCGATGAAAGTAGATGAGCCGATGCGCTGTTGCCAAGAAATGATTTCCCATGTATAACAATGGTTTTTCCTAAGGTGTATATATATATATACTTTCCCAAAGGTTTTCGATGCGCTGAATCCGAATCCGTAGTACAAATCTCTTAATTGTCTCTAGTTTCCGTGATATCCTAACCTAAAAGTCCAAAAATCTTCAACATTAAATCCAAATCCAAGTTTCTCAAACTTACTCAAGTCACAAGCCAAGAACCCATCCTATTACATCAAAGCCGAATTTAACATTCTTACTTTCGATTGAACACCTTCAAAGATAAATTAAAGAAAAATTACAATTTCAAAATGGCATATCTACGCGAAAGAAAAATACATTTAAGCAAACTCGATGGCATTTGGAGGGGCAACCCTTGTACTTTGAGATGGTACCTATGGTTTTTAGAAAAAAAATCTTCGTGCTGATTATCCCAAATATAGGCACAAATTGCAATTTTCACTTTTAGGTTAGGATACTTTGGAAACTAGAGCCAACTGAGAGATTTGGAATCTCACTCAACGCCCAAAAGACTTCGGGAAAATATACTCTGGTTTCGGGGTAAGAGGGTCGGATCAGTTTTGTCTCACGGTACTAATATATCAAAAACTGATATATCTGCATTATCGACCTGAGAAATAAGACAGTGCAAAGTGCCATCTATCACCAAAATCGACAACTACAGAGCGTGCATAGCAGCTATTTGTTGGAACTGTAAAGATCTCAGTTCGCGTTTAATATCCCAGTTACCATGTGACCGCTAGATAGCTGTCGATTCTGGATGTTTAGTAGATGTTGGTCTACTTGCTATTGAATATGCTTTTGTCCGTTCGACCAAAAGACAGCTATTCATGGCCAGCTGTTTCGTGCTTTTTGGATACTAATCAGCATTGTCTAGGCTTGACACTCACTTGAGATGTCTGCAAAGCTAAAAATTAGTTGCGCATCCTCGTTTTATAATTCAACCTGGAAAGTACATATGCAAATTTGCTAAATTTCAAAACAGACAGCGATAAGAAACGACAATCCCTGGTTGGTGAAGTATACTAAAAAGGTAAGAAAATATGGTACATACAGGAATACTTATGAAATGTAAAAAATTTATTACACTTCACATTAATTATTATTTGCAGTGATTTAACTTTTATAGAAATTTATTCCGCGATGTCAAGTTGAAAAGTCAAATCAGCCCCTAGATGTGAGGCAGTGCGAAAATGTTCTGTATGTGATGCCTCATTTCTAATTTTCCTGTGATGTGGCTTAATTACACAAAACGCGGGTGCGGTGCTGATTCCGCGTAACGGTTCACAAAGTTTTTTGAAAACGCAAAAACGGGTAAAACCGTAATGTACAACTTTAAACATAACCTCTCTTCATAAAGGGCAATAAATATGCGGGGAAGTCTAAAATGTGTGCAATATGTGAGTAAAAATACCGTGGCTGGAACCGTGTGGATATACTTAAGCCAGACCATTGACCACTTTCTCCCACGCCCTACCACCCACGTCCCAACTTTTAAAGCCCTACATTTTTTAAGAAAATGATCAGTGGCAACTTACACTATTTTAAACAACTAGTATTTTCAGAAAAATCCTAATCCTGATTATCCACACTTTGCTGTCGCTGAATGCGGAAAGAAGCCTATAATAATAGTTTATGTTTGGCCATCACTAGAAATCAACTGTATTCTGAGAGGAGGAGCTACCAGAACTTACACAAATCTGGATTATAGGTAGACAATTAGAGAACGATTATTTTGTTGTGTGTTATTATTTTGTGACATGGTAGGTTGCAGCCTCTTTTCAATAAGACTGGTGAAAAGCCTACAGAAAACGTTTATGTATTCTTTTATTTTATTTGGATGGAATAATAGTAATGATAAACGACTTTTGTTTAGGGCGAAGTTTAGCTACAAACTATTCCACCAGTTAACCCTTGAAAAACTAGCCTCCAAATATTGAAAACAATTTTAACGAAAATTACAAATTAAATACACCGTATGAATGTGTACAAAAGAACCATAAAAGATTTATATAAAAGACAGAAATATGAGGGAATATAGACGATATATACTGAACGTTAATTCAGATTTGAGAATCGAAGATAATAATTTGTTCGATTTGATTTTTAAAAGTAACAAAGTCAACATGCTTATGTAGGGGTTTTAGAATATAGCATAATAAATGAAATTTGTACAACTTTGCAACATTTAACCAATTCAACATGAACTAATATGATCATATTTTCTTAAATTGAAAATGATTCTACAACAAGAATTTGGAATTTTTTGTACACGTTTAGCTAAAATTGAAATCTAAAAATGGATAGTATTCTAAATCACAATATGTCATTTTTGATATTAAAGATTCACATTAAATTATTTTAGCTAGATTTATTCAAGTACAGAAACAGAAAACAATTTTTAGTTGCTTTATTTTCATGAAAAATGAATCTGACATTTTTTTAGCCTTTAGAACAGAGCCTTATAGAGAAGTGACCTCAACCTAGCATACCGCAAAGTGACTATTTCCTAGTGAAATTAATGCAACCTTGAAATGAATGTTTCCAGTGATGTCTTATGTTTCGTTTGTGTGCCTAATGCAAGTGTTTATCGAAACCATTATCAAAATTAATGCTTCAGATTTTTGTGTTTCGCAGTATTATCAGATCGTTTTCATCAAATTTCAAAACGGTATAGAGGTTGTAGAATGTTATCAATAACCCTAGCATATTAGTGATAATAAAAATATGGGTCTAAACTGTGACCCGATAAGTCTGACTTAATATATTTTCTTTGTAGCCCTGATGGCGAGCTTCTTGTATCTCAAAGTGGAGAGCCAGACTATTTGATTACAGTTTGGGATTGGAAGAAACATACAATTTTGTTGCGAAACAAATCGTACGTGAATGACGTATATCGAGTAAAATTCTCTCCGTACGTTCCTGGGCATATCACGACTGGTGGTAAGAATATATCGATATCTACGCGTAACAGAAGGTTTGCGTCATCTAGTGCACACAAACTCGCTCAGCTACGTGCTGCCACAATACATCTGCTCGTCTCTAAGCAGACACAAACTCATCTCACGCATGTCCGAATGGGAGCTGAGCGATATGATCCGAGCTGGCCAGAGATGAGTGGACGTATTCTGGCAGCGCGTAGCTGAGCGAGTCTGAGTGCACTCGGTAGCACAAATCGTCTGCTACGCGGAAGTATCGATACTACTGTTAAATCCTAATACATCCTTACCCGTAAAGTATGTAAACATTATATCCAGAAGGGTCCAGACTCCCCTGAGTCAAGTTGCATATTCAGGTGCAATCAATATTCAAAAGCTTTTCATTCTTATAAATATTTTACAGGAGTGGCTCACATCAAGTTCTGGAGGATGGTAGAAACTTTCACGGGTTTGAAACTGAAAGGTGAAGTAGGGCGATTTGGTCGTACAGAATACTCTGATATATTAGGAGTCCTCCCAATGCCTGATGAGAAGGTAATCCTGACTCGATACCATTACATATGTTTCATAAAATTGATAGAAAAATAGTTTTCTTTTTGTTTCTTCGTAGATTATACTATCATACAATACCGAAGGTTTATTCAATATGTTCATTGCTTTTTGTCAGTTGAAAAAGTAATCTTCATATTTTGAAAAAAATCAGCAGTAATACTTCAAAGACATTATTCAACAGGTGGTATCTGGATGCACATGGGGAAATATTCTTATATGGGATGCTGGTTTAATAACACTAGAGGTCTTCAGATCCTCTCGAAAAAGATGTCACGATAAACAAATTGTACAGTTTTTTTATAATGACGGAGAGCTATGGAGTGTTTCCCAGGATGGTCACGTGCGAGTTTGGTAAGAATATCAACTACGAGACAGTATATACTTACTTAAGATTGACTCCTTGTTGATTTTCACCCAAGTAGAGCAAATTAAGAGTGGAAAACATTTATCCGTATTTTCAGGTGGTATGAGAAAATTGATCAAGCCGACCCTCCTGATGACGATAGAGTTATCTTATTGGATCCATCTTATGATTTTTACACTCCAGGTGAGTGGCTTCCAAGCATTAAACTGCCAACACTAACAACGCATATGTAAAGAAGTTAATGTAGTAAACAAATGAAGTTCATATTTTTCTGAATAGTCCAAAACTATGGGTGAATTATTTTATCGGTGATTTTGGATATCCGATTCTTTCAGGCTTAAGCTTATACTGCGTAGAAAAAAGGTATCCGCATAACTCAGAGGACAGTTGGTTCTATGGTCAAGACGGAAACGGTGGTTTATGGTTGTTGGATTTCAATACTGATGGCGATCCTAAACCTTCAGTAAGTTCTCTTTCGATAAAATAACACATATAAATATGTAAATTAAGATTGGGTTTGGGATCTACTTCTTCGACTGAAGAATGAACAGAAATTGAAAAAGTGTAGATCCTTGGTTAAAAAATGATGTGATACAGATCACGATGAATTTGTATAGTATTGAAACCGTTTCGCTTCGTTCGGGCTTCACATTCGTATTCTATGAAAGATTGATACTGGGGATCCATAAACAGCTCGCCAGCAAACGCGAGGCTTGCCCTAGTCCAAAATAGTAGAAGCCGTGAAAATTCGTATTCACAGGTTGTCCTAATCCTGTCAAAAAGAATGGCCGTACGTGTTTCTGTGTATAGTCTACAGCAAGCTGAACGCCACCAAGAAGGACTGCTACCCGTTACCTCAGATAGATAACACTTTAGCAGCTTTGCAAAGAATTATTTTCGACTCTAGATTTGACGGCGAGTGGAAAATGAATCCTGTGGGCCACGAGAAAATTGACCTTACAATTGAGTTAGGCCTGAGCCAGCTTACAATGATGTCATATAAATTATGCATCAATGCTGTAGCAACGTTCCAAAAATTAATGAAGGGCGCACTCAAGGGTTGTCCTGAAAAATCTTTCTGGAAAACTGTTTCAAATACATTGAGATGCGATCTTGGTTCTGAAGCAGAGATTCCATACAGGTACTTCCTGTAATTACAGTTTGTGGAATATTTCTTCAAGTACCTATATAATAGAAGATTCTATCATATTTATTTTTCTGTTTATTCATATATTCATCTGTTTCAGGTCTTGCTGTACAAATGCCATGCAGGGCAGGTGAAAGGTATGGCACCGTGTCCGTTTTCGAACTACCTCGCAAGTCTTGGTGGAAGAGGCAAACTTTTTATCTATAACTACCTCACTAAAAAGCTAGTATTCGAATATATGTTTCCGGCTAGTGGAAGATGCTTGGAATGGCTTCCAATTAAGTTTTCTCGTACTGGAGACGTACTAATGGCGGGCTTTGATGATGGTCATGTCAGAGTATTCAGAGTAGACTTGCGCAAAGAAGATAATATCAATTTGGTGGTTCAACAGGTATATTTTTTGGTGCCCTCTCTCCTTTTTTCTATAGGCGAAAATTACTAAATTCACCAAAAAGACACTACTAGTCTCTTAATGTGCCCAAACCGTCTAGGAAGGACTCCAGAAGTTCTGGGAGCCAGAGTGGGAAGCCTTTCTGGATCAATTCATAGAGGAAGCCCTTATGCCACATCTTGTCAAAGGCCTTTGATACATTCAGAAGCAAGATGCCAGCACTTTCCTTACCAAAAGTCAATTGCAGGCAAACCCCAGTGTGATCTGACGAGAAATTCTCGAGGCAACGTAAAATCACCTGCTGACAGTAGACTGATGGGACGGTAATCGTGGGGAAATATCAAACCCACCTTCTTTAGAATCACTTTAATACCAGCAGTCTTCCATGCTGCTGAGATGCTGGGTCCATAGCATGACGCTGATTATAGCCAGGAGATAAGTTAAGGATTTCCGCAAAAGCAGATTCAGTACCTTATTAGTGAGTTGATCTCCCCCAGGTGCTTTACGCATCTTGAGGTCTTTAATTTGACCTTGAAGCTCTGCTATTGTGCAATGCGGGATCTTGAGGGATTCCCCTGACGTGCTATGCTTCTCTTCAGTTGGGAAATCTTCGGAAGAAGAATCCTTTGAAGAAAAATCACCTATGGAGGTGCAACTGCCACTGATGCCGTTGGTCCTCAAATATCTACTCACAGGTCTTAGGGCGTCTTGCTCCTTGCCGAGGTTATTATCAAGATCATAGTTGGGAGAGTACTGACTTTCCAAAACCTCGACCTAACGTCTGTATAATGTCAATAGCTGGTCTCAGCATTTGACGTCGTGGTTTTAGCATCTTTATAACAAGTCTCTTGGCTAAACGCTATCTCGGTCAGGAACTTGTAAATTTCATTTTATGGTCCTCCATTATTTTTTTTACAGTTTGTTATGTGTAGATCTCGGAATTATGTATTCTTTATTGTTTTTATATATTTAATTTCAGGCTATCAAGCCCCATAACAAACCGTTGACCAAAATATCTATTAACGAAAATGGAAGTATTTTAGTGACAGCTGGAGAAGACTCTAGAATATTTGTATTTCAAATGCATCTCAGTCAATATGCCGATGAGTTGATAATTCCTATTGGGTAAGAGCAAAAACAGAATGTCCTTCTAAATATAGAAGCATTAAATAAGATCCTTCAGTCCTAACAAAGACTAGTTATATAAAGGGAAGACAAGGGGAATAAAATTAGAGAGAAATATGTAATTCCGAAGGTATGACGTCCTCTAAACACGGCTCTTCTCATTAAGTCAGATATATTGGATGAATTTATTGAGCATCACCGGTAGTGAACCCATTTTTGTTCCAATCTTGTTTTGTTTGGACATTTGTTCATTGTCGGGATATTTATTATCTATTCACAACCTACGCAATATATTTTTCAGTTAATAAAGTTGTAAATCAGCTTGAAATTCAAGTTTTCTAACCTCATATTGAATATTTGACCAACCTTGAAAAGAGCTAACCTCTATTCTACTTAGTATAAGTGTAGCGTTTTATAAATATTTTATGGCGGCTTGGCAATACCGCCTCGGTAGTCAAGGATGGACCACACATAGATGGCTGTAATTGTAAAGCAGTAATAGTCCAAGAGCAGACCGCAAAGTCTGAAGAATGTTAAAAACTAGTCAAAAATTACGTATTTATCGCATGATATCAGTACGCGATGATGTAATCAAAAATTTACGATCGGCTTCCTGAATATAATGGTCAAAATGGGAGACCGGCGGATTATAAAGGCATTCCACGAAATGTCTTCTCTTGATATAACTACTCTTTGTTACCACGTTGGTTAAGGTGGAAGTGAGTTTTGTTGTTTCTTTTATACGACTAAAACACTGGTTGGCCGATACCGAACCAGTGTTGCCATTTACCTTGAGTTATTAACGATATTATACGGTACGTAATAAAGATAGTCTTCAATTTTGTTCGTGGTTAGTAAAGTACAAATTTTCTAATTTACTAGATTTGTAGACACTCCAGACATAGTAACAGCCATTACCTGGCATCCAGCGTCGTACACCACAGTATTACTAGGTTGCCTAAAAGGTCAAATGATGCAAGTTTGCGTGCCTGAAGAACCCCAGGATTACACCGATGTATCATTTGAGTTGAAAATTGAACCAATTTACAATAGGTTTTCATCGTACAAATCGCAGATACGAAGGGATATCAAAATCAGACAGATCGAAGCAAAGAAAGCAAAAAAAGTAAGTTGCTTGAACGAGATATACATATTAAAAATACATGTAGATGTAAAGTGATGTAAATCACCTTAAGATCTTTAAGTGAGCTTGTCAATAATATTATAAAATCTGATCGAAGCCTTTACTTAGTGATATTCCACAGCCTGTATTTACAAATCACTTCCGCATTCTGAGTCTGTTAGATGAACTGGCTATGATTCTGTGTCTCATTCTAAGTCGGTCGTATCCCACATATTCTACAGACATTTCCAGTTATGTCACGGTACAACCTTTTTGATGTTACACTATAGTGATCAACACCGTTAGTATGCAAAATCTTGTTTGAATAGATGGCAAAAAAGAGGAAGGAAATGGAACGGATCAAAAAAGAAAATCCAGGCTTGGAAATAGATGAGGAAATCTTTCTGGCAGACTCAGATACCGAAGAAGAATTGGAACCTCTGTACTATCCTGATGTACCGAACAAGATACTATGGCTGAAATACACACAGGATTTAACTATCTGGTTATCTGTAGGCGGTTATGATGCTGGGTATATCTACGAATATACTATGGATCAAAAGAAGATATCCCTTCAAGGTGTGAATTTGTAACAAATGGATGTTCTATGTTCTAAAATACTGCAGGTGCAAATTTGGAGATTGCTACACAAATTATTCATACTCACCTTGGTTCGCTTTGAACACTTGATGTTTGATGCCTTTCTTAAGAAAACACACAAAGATGTATCATTTATATTTAATTTGGGTCTAGTTCAAGTCCAATTTATGGCTTACTGGTGTATATTCTCACATTGTCATTCGTATTATGCCTCTTTACAAATATTATCTTGATAAAGGAAGATACATTTGCTCTGCTCTAGGTTCATAAAGATTATGCGCGATCCTTTATAACATGTCAAATTTAATAGAAAATATAAAAACTGAGGAAGACCTTAAATAGCTATTCGCCTTTAGGTTCAGAATGGTAGCTGATGCAGATGATGTTGAAATAAGCAGCTATGTTTATACGCACAACAAGGAGTACTTGGTTTTTGCTATGCAACATGGATCCATAAGAGTGAACAAAGTAAATAGGAATGATTACTCAGATCTGACGGATTACTGGACACTTGCTATGCATGACAATCAGAATGGGTTTGTTCCAAACATGTGTTTCAGCTACGATGAGCAGTTCTTTTTTAGGTGAGCTTATACCAAATAATCTCCAGGTGTTAGTTATTTATCAACACCGCGGAATAGAACAGTTACTTGCGGATACCTCTCCCTCTGATGCCAGATTTTTTCCATATTTTGAACTGAAACAAATAGATTTGCGGTATACAGGGTTATTTCTCAAATCGAGGCAAAAAAATCAAATTTCTAAAGTGCCTGGATCATTGATATACTCGTAGATTATCTAGAGGATATGACATAACATCTTTGGTCACGGGGTCGAGCCAAGATTCTTATCGTACTTCATCAAACTTGTTGTTTTGCCGGGTTTTTCTGGAAATATTTCTTTTTCGTACACCATTTCATTATTTTGTTTGTTCTATTGTAACTAAACATGGCGTGGAGTAGAGAGATCGACCTTTCTGTCAATGCTGGAAAGACCGAGCTGATTCTATTCATTAGGAGAAGGAAGCTTGGCGGGCTTGTCTTGCCGACATTCTTTGGGACTAAACTAGTTCTATTCCGATCAGAAAAATATCTAAGAATTATACTGCACTGCAAACTGAATTACAGATAGTATGTTGAGGCGCTACCGAAAAGGGAGAACCCGGTGGACAAAAGTGGAAAGATCATCGGCCTTATGGCGGAATATGTCCTGTGGGAGTCAACTAAGGCCTGAGGCCCATCATTTGTCAGATCAAAAGTGAAATCTCAGTTTGAAATTAAACTGTCTATTATTTTCATTGAAACCTTAGAATACAATGTTTACTAAATAAATACAAAATAATAAAAATAACATACAAATGCCCAATAAATATAAATAAAATATCCAAAAAAGTAATACATGTGCTTAGTCTTCAACGACAGTGTTTTGTACGAATTTTGTATTGATACATTTGTGTAAATGTATAAATGTTTTCTTTGGCGAAAAGTAATATTTTATTAAATAATGTATTGTTTTTATGTTGACCAGTCTATAATTAATCAATCTCGGTTTAGCTTCATAATCTTAATTCAAATTTGAAGCGTTTTCTGGATTGTATATTTTGAATTGTGAAGTAATCAACTTTTGCAGCTAGACGGCTGATTGGCGCCGTATAGTTTTATTCACGCTGGGTAATCCATTTATTTTTCTATTGCACATGTCAATCACCAGTATTTTAGTTCAACATCCTCTAAAGAGCGCTGTTGTCCCGTACCCGTATCACGTAGGTAACTTAAAAAGGGGCATTACATGGGTTTGCACAGATTAGGTATTCAGTAGTGATAGCTGTTTGTTTATGTTGTTTTTTTTTTTGTTGTTGTTATAGTTGTTTTCTCTATTACGCTTGAAGCTGATTTATACTCTCTGACTGCTATTAGTTTTTACCTCAAATCTGTACTCTAAGGCCCGTATCATCAGTCGTCCCTACAATTGTAGGGCGCCTTTATGGCCTCCTTGATTGTCATAGTTTTCTGCTTCTCCGTGTCAGAACTCTATTTTGCGGTTATGTCACAAACATCTATTTGCATCAAGTTGTGCTTGCTTTTGAGTTATATCATGTTTTATCAGCCTGAAATTTCCTACAATTTAAAAAGAAAACATATCTTCACAATAGGCGAGCGCTGACGCTGACACGGGACAAGTGTAATTTAGAAATTTTTGAAGGAGAGAAAGGAGGATGACAATCAAGGAAGCCATAAACGCGCCCTACAATTGTAGGGACGACTGACGCTACGGGCCTTAGTGGCAATATGGAACTAGTCCACTGTTTGTCTTTTGTTTCCATGGATGATGTGATTTATTTCCTTAATTTTGGTGTGTTGTTCTATTGAAAGCTTAATAACACAAAATCTAGTGATTTTATCTGGATCAAACTTCGTACTGAAAAAAAAAGCTTATAAAAAATTGAATCCGAACTTGCACGAATGTACAGAGTGATGCATTTGAAATTTTTGAGAAAAACTACAATTTGCGTTTTTGACCACCCTGTATGAGCAAAAATTAAAGTTCGAATAAGTAACAAATAAGATAAAAGCTGAGGTATGTAAGTTTTTTTATACAAAATTCAGCACTTAAAATTTCAAAATGGCGGACTGAGGGGTTGCCGAAATGCGAAACCTTATATCTCAGTAGCTAATTACCAAAACCCCATAGTATGTTATATCAATTTTCTTCTTTTGAAATAGTTTATCCAAATATGCAATAAAATTTGAGGCATTCCATTTGAGAAATCACAACTTTGATATGTAGGTCGAAATTGGGACACCCTGTATAATGGCCAATATTTTAGAAATGTGCTCTCAAATTAATGTCATATATAACATCTCATAAATAAATTTTCCCAAAATGTATTTGTTTATGAGTAATATTCCGTCCACACATGGATGGGCCACCCTGTATGACTGTATACCCTAATGTGTAAAACTGAAACATGATTTTCGGAAAGGTGCCTTATGTCGGCAATATAGAGCGAAACAGCAATAATTAATTTATTTACACTGCTTTGTCAGACGATATCGTAGCATTAAAATTTTGTTTCAGTTGTGGCCACGATGGCAATGTATTCTCCTACAACTTCAAACCACACAACTACCGCTATCCAGAAGTTGAAACGCCTGAAAGGAGAGTTAATTTCCCACCAACGTTTGAGGAAGATGTGACTAGCAATTATACCTTACTGAGTTTGGAAGAAACCAAAATCAAAGCAGAAAATGATAGAGTCACTAGAGTAGCCAATAAACACAAGGCTCATTATAGAGAACAATTAAGAATCTTGAAAGAACGATACGCTGAGGTAAGAACATAATTGAGTTTTCGTAAATACCTATTGAAAACGCAAAACGGTAAAGTGAATTTTTGCTGTCACTAAGTTTCTCATGTTACCACGGAGACGTGTTTGGGGTCAAGTGTATTTACGACATACAATTTAATCCGATTCTCCAGTAGTTTTCTCTTCTAACCATCATAGTAAATCAATTGGTATCCCATCCTCGTCTTAAACATCCTATGGGTTTCTGATCTACATCTGTCCATCGTTACAATGTAATTTTTTGTTCCAGAACAAAAAAAAGTAAAAGTCATGAAAATTACATTAATGAGATCTTCTTCTTTGTTACGTTCACGACTTTTTAACATATCTGTGAGCGTTTCGTAATGCCCATATTGACCGATACAACTCTTTAGAAATATTTTACGCAAATGGTTTTTGTAGGTATACTACAGGATGATCAAGACAGAATCTACGAAAAATATTCATTTTAACATATCATAAAATACTTTTGGTACAATTATATTTTGCTCTCCAAGGGCTATGCTACCGAATTTTATCGAATAATGGTCTCGGCAAATCCGTTTTTGGCCATCTATGACCACCAGTTTTAGAATAACCCCAAGCAGTTTGACGTACATTTGAGTCAACATGTTGACTATAGATAAGTAAAATTTTAAAATAATATTTCCAGGTTTTGCTACAAAATTCTAAGCTTGCAGAAAGCCAAATCATCCCAAAAGAAGAACTAGAACTAGACGAAAGGGTAACTGAGTACGTAGATAATGAATTCCAAGCTAAGCTTGATTTGGTAAAAAGAAAATTAGCCTTCGATGTCCAGAAATCCGAGATACAGATGAAGAAATTGAAGGCTTACATTACAGATCCCGTGGATAAATTTCCTATAGTTGTAAAAGGTATATAGATAAATATGATGTGTTATCTAAAGAATGACATAATTGTTATTGGCAAAGCTAACTAAGAGTAAGATATCACAAAATTACATTTGTGGATATTGAATGCGCCGTAAACAATTTACAAATGTACAAGCGAATTAATTGGAAAAAGAAGGAACCACAAACGGGTAGTCTGCTTGAGGTGATTTTTATATTTAGTTAGTTGTTTTGGTAGACGCTTGTATATTAGTGGACACTGGAACATAAGCGACCTTAGCATAATGTTTTTTCTTTGTGGTTTGAGTAGACGAATTTGAGTATTTTTGTTTCTTGTATTATATTGATATTCTATATATTCAATATTGTTTTTATTCTTATATTGATCCATTATTATCGTATAAAAAAAAGTTTATGTGTACTATGAATTTTTGTTTCCGAAAATAGCAATTTACTAGACTATAATAATGGTTTATGATATAATATTTTTTTAAATTAGTTTTTGTATAGTTTCTATCATAGTTAAGTGTATCTTATATGCCGAGCCCAAAGCTATTATCCCATGTGTTAAATGACGCTCTACTAAAGTATGATATGACATCGTAATTGTGTAAGTTTCAAACTTTCAACAATGTGTAATCATATGAAACACGTATATGTACGTATTTCCCTCAACGTCATACGTCTGATAGAAGTTATTTTGCTCTCCTTCGGTTTGTTGTCCCACCTGGATCGTGCTGATGATTGCCAATAAGCATGAGTGCTCTATGTATACACATCGATCGGATGGATGAAAGCGGGATTAGTAGTGTGTAGTCAAACTGCAAAGGGAGCGGAAAATTATACTGTATTCGAGTCTCATTTACCCCCGGCCAAAACAAACGTAGGTAGTACACCGTCTCCGACTGTCAAACGTGTAGGTACCACCCGGCAGATCTCTAAGGCGGAGACAGAAGGTGTGCATGTTGCATGCACACGTATTGTCTCGCTAGAGTCCGTGAGGCGCCCCGCCCCTTGCCCCTGTTCCTAAAGCCCCACGTTACCATGTGTTTCGCGAAAGTTCAAGTATAAAAAAGACCAGCGCACTTCCTTCAAATTAGTGTGTTCCTGTTGGTCAGTAGGTCATAAGTGCTTGGGTAAAAAGAGGTTTGAAAGGACCGATACGATAATTCATTAGCTGATTTGGGTTTTCAGGAATAAATAATCCGAAACTGAAACTGCTGAATGTCAGGCAAAGACTGATGAATCCGATGTTTCACAGTGTCTTGAAGATAGTTGAGGAGAAATTAGTAGAAGAGGAGATAAAAGGCAGGTCGTGTCTCTTATTTATATTTATTTTTCAATCACCGCATTTTATATCCGCATATTTTTTTATTTATTTTCTATCATTTCAACTATAATATATGTTGCAGTACTTACTATATCGAAGTTGGTATTACCATGTGTCTATCGTTTCTGAAAGAGTTTGGTATTTGATTTACGATAATATTGTAGTTACGACGGCGTTTGTTATCCATGTCGCATTCAGTTCTTGGCCAAAGTATGGAGTCGGACCATTAGCAGGATAATGACGTAACTAATGCTTCAAAAATCATTTACGACGTAACTTTTGCAACATCTGCATATGAAGAATATATACCAGTTTGTTTTTACTTTTATACCTTCAACATGTTCGTTTTTTTTTTTCGCTGCCTCAGAAAGGAATTGGCTAGACTTTTAACGATCCCACTGAATAGGTATGTTTTTAAATTCGCAGTGTAAAAAATATTCAAGTTTGATAATAGTTTCGTCCGTCAGTTTTGAATCTGTATAGGCGTATTTTCTTGGTAGAGCTTAGTTTCACCAGCACCTTCAAAATATTTAGAAAATACCGTAGACGATTTTGCACTCGCAATATAGACGTCACGAATTATTACATAGTCTAGAATCACAAAGGAGGAGAGTAATACGAGTATAACACATCATACGCCAATGCTTAGGCAACGTGTCTTTTTTAATACGGATCCGTGCTCACCGACTTTGCCGATACAAAGGCACATTGCGCTATCAGTGGCATACGATGTGTTATGTCGCTATCTTCAATTTCAGTACCAGAGTATACTACATTTTTATTAAAATAGAAAAAAGAGAAGGTAGTGATGAAAAATGGAAAACCATCATCTAATTTATGGTTACTAGAATTTTATCAGTAAAACGATATGTTTTTTTTACATATAAAAATAAGGATCCATTTTTGAATTCATGAAGTGTGTGGAAGATGAATGTCTTTGGAAATGGAGAATAGTAAGACAGTTAGTGATACATTGAAATTTATTAAAAAATTGAGACTAAAATAATATAGACATATATTGAAGACCCAATACAAAGCTATCTGCCTATTGCATTTACCCAAAAGTTTGCTCTGTTAAAATACTGAAAGGATATTACAGATCGCAGCTTTTGTTGTACTATATATACATCGCTACCACAGCTTTTTAGACCCTTAGGAAATCTCGATCTGATACTGTACCACGTGATTTATTTCCCCACAGACCTATTGAAAGGGCAGTAGCACCTCCAAAGCAATACGTGCCAAAAGCTATCAAGGGACACGCGTTAGAGTATTTCCTCTTAAGTTTGTCGCCATCGATAATTGAAAAAAAATTGGGACCGAAGCTAACCAGGATGTTGGAGAAATACAGAGCCAGGAAAATCAAGTGGGAAAAAAGAGGAGAAGAGGTTGGTATAATTCACAATACCCAAGTTTCCTTTATAGTTTAAAAATATCAGCTACATATTTGATTGATAGCTATTTTTGCTACTCATGGTGGTATACCATGGTATACTACCATGAGTATGCCATACTTGGTATGTATCGGATTTGCTTGTTCACATGACATAGTGACGTACCTAAGCGAAAGTCAAACTGTCGTTTACAGTTTGCATCACACACTAACATTAAGCGTATAGCGCTGTATTGGTGACGTTCCCGATGAATATACGATTATTGAGTAAGATAATAAATAGGTTTTCCACCAATAACCGTAAAAATTACCATTATTGTCTACACTGCCACGCTACGAAGGAGCTTTTCTGTCCCTAAATGATAACAACGAGCATCTATGTAAACAGACTTGGGTCGAATACTGAAGTTCGGTATTCGAATAAGAATCCTAAATACTGTTTTTTAAATTGTTTTCGAATGCAATGAAAAAAGTATTCGAATACCGCTATTTTGATTACCTGGATTCATTTTAATATGAATACTTGTTGAATATCCCACCTAAAAAACATATGCGCACTTAAAACTTGATTTTTATGTATTTCAGTTATGGAAATGTATAAAAAATCAAAAATACAAGACTATTTTAAATAATACCTAAAATTTTGATACACAGTATCACAGAGAGGTTAGACAAATTAGTTGTAAAACAAAGAACATTTTACTTCTATTAGACCTTTTATTCAGAAAATAAATGAATCTTAGTATCTCACACAATACATAATTAAAAAATAAGTCTTTTTGTACGTCTTTTTTATCTGGTGTCACACTCAAATTTATAGGGTATTAAAATTTATATAATTATAAAATAGAACGGCAATACAGCATACGTGATCTAATATCGTTCCTTAAGCGACCTAACGACATCGCAAATTGAGAAGCACCACAGTCCACACAAACAAAATAACTTGGCGTAGGTATTTTGTTTGTGCCATCCATATCCACCGCGAACATGTCTTGACACACTTAAGTTGTGTAAGAATAGCCAAACAGTATTCGAAAACAGGATTCTAATACCGGGATTTGAACACAAAGTGGGTATTGGAATATTGAGATTCAAAAACGGTATTCAGAATCCAGAATACCGAGTATTTACAAAAAAATATTCAGTCGAATATCAAATACCTAACACACAAATGTATTCGAATAGTATTCACACATTAAATTTAAAACAAATTATGTCATATACTTTTTTACTCTAGGGTCAATACTTTGAGCTATAGGGTATCTTAGTTGATAATAATAAAACAAATACATATTTAAAAAATACATAAGGCTCGACTGCAACTACCGGAAAGAATTAATTTTTAATTATGATATCAAAATAGCCGTTCATTTCGGCTGATCGGAGTCTGGATTATCGAGGACGTGATCTGGCACTTGCACACCTGATTAATAGCGGCAGCTGCTGGAAAAAAGCGAGCCTATTTGCTTAGGGCTAAGAGGTACTTTTCTCTTCATGATCTTACTCAGTACACAGTTTCAGCCGGTGTTACCGATCCTACCGATTTTTCGGTATTTATACCGAAATGGGTGCTTATTTACCAAAATACAGAAATCATCGTCATTTTCCAAGGTTTTTTAAAATAATTCAGTTCCAGTTTTTTACCGAAAAAGAGATGGAACCAAAATAAAGCTAAAAAAATTAATTTTATTTAGTTTTATGCCCCATACCAATCATACATATGCGTATAATTAGACAGTCGGACACTTGAGGAACTTTGGCTTGGGTTGCATATAATTATGTACGCACATCATCTTTACTCCGCTATTTCTTGATTCGTTTTTGTGCTTATAACAGGTACAGACAGGTAGACCACCATCAGCATCACCATATTACCGGTTAAATACAAGGGAACCAAAGATGGTCTGTTTTTAATTAATATTAAATACAAATGCTACGATGCTTCAAGTTCAGCGGTAAAACAGAAAAATATTCACAATCTTATATCCAAGATTGGAGAAAGGAGTTTCCAGCATGGCTGCAAAGGAGTTTGAAGAGCGACCAATATGCTCATTGTATAAGTTTTAATAAAGGAGTCAATATTTTGCCGGGAAAAGTTGGCCTCAAAAACATATGTTGTGTGTGCGCACGCAAAAGAAAAATGTTTTTTTATATAAACGGTAATTAAAGGCCCCTGAACCACCACTGATCTTGCGGTGGCACTGATTTTTTTATCCTACCGATTTTGTCGTTGAATATACAGAATTTCAACGACACTATATACCGATTTCGTATTTTTCGGTTCGGCAACACTGGTTTCTGCAGTCGGGCTTTTTGTATTTTTCAAAAATGTATTTTTATCAACTAAGATACCTTGTAGCTTCTAAAGTATTGATTCTACAGTAAGAATGTACCTATATGAGATATGATATATCATTAACAGTTTACGAGATGCATGCTAAAACTTGAGGACCTTTAGTTTGTTCATCTAGAGGCCTCATTGAACAGCTCTACCAATTACCAAAATTACACGAAATGTTTTGTATGATCCACGATGTTTAAGCTAATTTCCTTAGACTAATTACCCAACAAATGTGAATTATTTGTAGCACAAGGAATCCTAGAGGAAATTGATAAGTAATTCGCAAAGTGATCAAAAGTTTCAGTTTGAAATACTGGCGCTCAGTCAGCGCGCGGATTGCGTCAAGTCCGTTTTTTAAACATGTACGGTTTTTACCCTGAATGGTGCAATATATAAAAATGAAAATTGTTCCACACTACCCGGTCATAATTCAAGCTTTCAAGTATGTATTCAACTTCGAGTGCCACATGTTGGTTTCTTGAGACTAGCATTGTCTAAGAGATGTTCAAAATACGAAAGTATTCAGACACCAATCGAAATCGTTGGAGACTTTACTTGTTATTCCTGTAATCACATGTGTTCTATGCTTTGTGGAATGCACTCAGAATGAACTCGAACAAACTCATTGCAGACTTTTTTTCAATATTAAAGCAATGAGATTGGTGATAGAGCATTTCAATAAATGTAAAAGGGTGCAAGGTGGTATATAAACCTCAGCGCTCGAGTAGAATGTATAGATTTAAAGTATGTATTATACGTCCATTTTACTATATAATGAGTATTAATGTCCGCAAATCAACCAAGATTGGGTAGCAGGTAAATATTTCTCCCAAGTTCTCCACTACATCATTTTTAATACGAAGAGTTGGCGATTGAACCAAGATTTATTGCTACGAGGTCTGTAAATTAAGTCATGAGATTGATAACGCAGCGTTCGATCTGGCATCACTGGGAGCGCCGCGCTTCGAAGGAGACAGGAGAACATGTGATCCGCCATCAGTACAAGTTTGAACTCACTTGAGTCATTTGGTTGTCCGTGGCGTTTTTTTATTTTTTGAAACAGCTTTTCCTATTGTATTCTAAAAATGAGCAACGGTGTGCTATGAGGTTTGGCTTGAGACTTGGGCAAAGTGCAACAGAAACTTGCTTAACTTCAGCAGCAGAGACTCGATTGAAAATGAATCAAGAACCGATGAAGATAACGACAGAATCCGGGATATTGTGCGGTCAAATCATCGGATGACAGTCAGAATGATCGTTAAATTTGACTCACACCACCGTTCATCAGATCAAGAACAACTGGGTTGCATCACGATAATGGTCCTTGTCACACAGCAATGTCAATAAACGAGCTTTTGGCCAGTAAAAACATTCCTGTGGAGCCTCAGCCTCCGCATTAGCCTGACTTGAGTGCTTGTGACTTTTTCTTTTCTGGAAGTAGAAAAATTGCCTCATTTTGGGACAACCGAAAACATTCAAGCGGCTGTAACCAACCAGCTGTATCGGAGTTCCACCACTGCTATGAAGAGTGGAAGAATTGTCTCCAGCACTGTGTTGCTTCAGAAGGAAGTTATTTTGAGGGTAAAAATATATAACTGTAATTATATTTGAGATATTTCTCCCAATTAAATGTTCTGTTCCTAGCTTAGGGTTCTCCACAAAATTATTTTTAATACGAAGTTGGCGTTTCAACCATGCTTTATTGCTATAACAATTTTAGTAAAAAATATCCACGGTTTCCCTTACATATAAAGATATTTATTTTCGTTATAAAGCCTACATAAACATGTCATCATAACCTGGAGGTGGGAACTCGTCATTGTCTGGCCTATTTGGAGGTCTAGGCCTTTCCCTGGAACAAAAATAACGTAACAGAAATTATCGAAAATCCTAGGTAAGTATCCAAGTTAAAATCAATAAATAAAATTAATCGCTCTGTCACTCATCAGTCTATGGCGATGAGTATTCAATACCATGCCATTTATTGACCACATTATGTACATGTGAAGTCTTACAAACTATTTTATTATCTTTCTGGGTGACGTCATAACATCAACGTACTCAACATCTGAATAGAAACAGTGGTTAAGCAATACTTTTTTTCAACAAGCTTTAAGAAGCAGTGTCTTGACATTTTCAAAATTATGTTCTATGCACTAAGAAATAAATTATATAATTTAATGTTAGATCTATTATTTAGTAACGAGTATAGATTCCTTAACATTACGTAGTGCATGGGTGTGTATTTCTGCAGAGATCTGATATCTGTTTAGATTTCTGTGCACATAACATAGGACTTAAAAAATATTAATTGATGGAAGTGGTAATTGTAGATTTTTTAAATGATTTCTGCACTTTGATCCATAACTGAAATTTGTAATTATCCTCAAAGCCCTTTTTTAAAAAATGAAAATTTTGCTACATGCTACTGAAGTTCCCCCAGAGCATAATAAAGTACGCGGTGCCGTCAAAGCTTACATACTGCTTTCTACTTGACTGATGGGAACGAAATAGATCTAACCCGGTATTTCTTATGCCATAGTGTCCTAGTTTTTTAAATGGCACATGAATTGTAGTTGAACTTTTTCGAAATCTAAATTTCTCTTTCACAATAATCTCATATATTTTCCCAATAATAAGTAATAATAATG